GAGGGGGGTAAGAGCAGGGGTTGGGGGCTTGTAACGGTCAGGCCCTGCCTGGAAAATTTCTGGGCCCACCAGAGGGATGGGAGAGGGTCGGCGGGGCCTGCAGAACTGTTGAACGCGGCTTGAGGTGGGCCGCCAGTTGTGTGCGCACAGGGTGCCCTCCTGTGGCACAGACAGGAACTGCAAGGGAAAAAACCGGGGAGGGGGGGAGAGAGAAGAGGAAACATTTCAGTGTATTGACATAGAATCATGGAATCACACAGAGTCGGAAGGGACCATAGAGGCCATCTAGTCCAACCCCCCTGCTCAGTGCAGGATCAGCCTAGAGCATCCCTGACCAGTGTTTGTCCAGCCGCTGCCTGAAGACAGCTTGGTGCTTGGGGGAGCCAACAGTGGGGGGGGCTTCTAGTGCCCTGGCCCCACTGGTGGACCTCCTGATGGCACCTGGTATTTTTGGCCACGGTGTGACAGAGTGTTGGACTGGATGGGCCTTTGGCCTGATCCAACGTGGGTTTCTCTTATGTTCTTAAGACGGCCAGGGAGGGGGAGCTCACCATCTCCCCCGGCAGCCCATTCCGCTGCTGAATGAACAACTCTTACTGTAAAAGGGGTTTTTCCCCTAATATTCAGCCGGCACCTTCCCGCCCTTAATTTAAACCTCTTCTTGCGAGTTCTCTCCTCTGCTGCCGACAGGAACAACTCCCTGCCCTTCTCTAAGGGACAGTCCTTCCAATACCTCAAGAGAGCCATCCTGTCCCCCCTCAACCTCCTCTTCTCTAGACTTGTGACAGCCCTTCAAAGACTTCAAGAGACTCCACCTCCTCTTCTGCAGACTGAACATTCCCAAGAAGTCCCTCAGCCTTTCCTCACGGGGCTTTGTGGTCTCCAGGCCCCTGATCATCCTCACCGTTCTCCCCTGCACTCGCTCCGTTCTGCCCACATCCTTTTTGAAGTGAGGCCTCCAGAACTCCACACAATACTCCAGGTGTGGCCCGACCAAGGCAGTGTCCAGCGGGACTATCACATCTTGCAATTTGGAGGTTATGCCTCTGTTGACACACCCCAAGATCGCATTCGCCTTTGTTGTCGCCGCATCACACTGGCCACGAGCCAGTCTGGTGTCGTGGTGAAGTGCACGGACTCTAATCTGGGAGAACTGGGTTTGATTCCCCCACTCCTCCACTTGCAGCCAGCTGGGTGACCTTGGGCAAGCCACAGTTCTGGCACAGCTGTTCTTGAAAAAGAGCAGTC